AATAATAAAACAAATATATATATACAGATTAAACTATATACCATATAAGATTACATAAATATTTTAATTTCAAAATTTTCAATAAATTTTCAAGAACATTTATAAATTATAAACTTATTAAATTTTTCACATTGAAATTTTTTGTTATCAATGATTTAAATATCTTAGTTCTTTTTTTAATTTTATATTTTTAAAAGATGTTAACAATCGATAATATGGTTATTTTTGGCATATACCATACAAACCGAATGGATGTGATTTTATAAAAACCATAGGATTTGGATATGGTTTGATTTATAATCGATTAAACTGAAACATGTAAATATGTATATATTTATAACGACGCATGAATATCTATTTGTTACATGAGTTGAACTATAATTATAATTTGTAAATAGCTAACAATTTATTACAACTAAGACTTTTTATTTTGATCTTTTGCTTTTTTAACAGTAACTAAATTGAAGTAAAGATTATAAATTTGATGGACAACAATTAGTTGAAATTCTTTACAACTTTTATTTATCTTTAAACAAACAGAGTTGTGTTCAATCGAAGACATATTGGTTTGATGAACACAAAATATGGAAGAATATAAAAACTTTTCTTTCATGCTTCTGTTTTGTTTTTTCTTTTTATTTTCAAAATTTAGAGTTTTGATATTAATTCTAGATTTGATCATTTTATTAGATGATAGAAGCCTTTTTGTTTTTTATTCTTTTATTTAAATATAAAATATTTTTTTAATAAATGACTCTGTGACAATATGACTCTAAATATGATCATATTATATATTTGTATAATATATAATATGATCTCAAACTAAATAATTATGTTTTTTGGTATAAAATTGAATAAACTGAAAATCGATGGTATATAAACCAAATCAAACTGAAGTACATATAGATTTAGAATAGTAGTTATATTTTAATGATCGAAATACCAAAAAATCGAGCCGAACCGAAACCCGATATCCGGATTGAACACCTCTAATCCGAATGAAACCGAACTATTATTTCATTTTTAAAAACATAATAAAAATAATAACTTCATCCCGCGTAAGGCGCGGGTCTTATCCTAGTTATATATTAAGAGTCATGCTTCTCACCTAACACTGATTATTACCAGAAGATGAAAAGTGCCGGTAGGACTTGTGACTTTGATGGTACTGCCACCATTACTACTAATGATCCTAGTAAGTTCTCATATTCTCTCATCAAGTTTACTTCGTTGTTTCCATTGTGTAAGTCGATTGTGTTTGCGTTTTGCAGGCTATAGAACATGTGCAAATACGGAAGGAAACTAACGATCCGAGTTTTTGTCTTGTTTAAGTTTTTAACCATTCTGAAAACGTATCTCTTTTTTCTCTGAACTGTTTGAGCTTGCTCCATTGACCGCAGCACAAACGCAACCGGAGGAGACCGACTGCGTTAGGACCCGTGAGTCCATTAGGAGGGAACACAAACGCAATCGAGTCACACAATGGAAACAACGAGAGAAGTAAAGTTATATTTTGAATCTTTCTAAGATGTATTTTCTGAATTATTTTTGTATTCAAGTATTATCAGATATTATAATAAAATAAATATAAAATTAAATATTTAAGTAAAGTTGATGTTGGAATGGTCGAATGGTGATGTTGGAATGGGGCTCGTTGGATACAAAAAAAAAAATTACAATGCTTTTCTTTGTTTTACAAGAGTGTGAGAATTGACATAATTAATTCTTGACGAAAAGGTAAAATATATATTAAAATATACATTAATTCAAAAATTTTAAAATATATATTAAAATAAAATATAATTATTTTAAAATAAACTATAATTTCTATTAATATTGTGTTGTTATCCTAAAATAAGTTAGAGTGATTAATATTGTTTATGCACTTAATGAATAAAACAAATTACTATTTTTTTATTAGACAATTGATTAAAATTAACAATAATGATCTATATGTACTATTGTTTGCGAATTGATTTTTCGCAACGGAACTCTCACCTTTAAAGTTAGAGTGGTTAAAACCGTTTATGCTTTTAATGAATAAAATATATAAATTAGACATAAAATAAAAACAAAATTTATTTTTTAATTAGATAACTGATTAAAATTAATAATAGTGAGAATTGTCCAAAAAAATTAACAGTATAAAGTAAAATAAAATAATTTTAAAATAAAATATTATTCCTATTTATATTATGTTGTTATCGTAAAATAAGTTAGAGTTATTCATATTGTTTATGCAGTTAATGAATATTTTTTTTGATTACAAAATTGATTAAAATTATAATAGTGATAATTATCTAAAATCTAAAAAATGTTATTTCCGCAACAAAGCTCTTACGGTAAAATTTAAAGTGCTTAATATCGTTTATGTCCTTAATGAATAAAATATGCAAATTAATAATAGTGAGAATATCTAAAATCTAAAAAATATATATTATCTAAAATAAACTATTTGTTTTAAAATAAAAGGTAATTCTTATAGATTTTCTGGTGTTATCCTAAAGTATATTATAATAAAGATTTATATTAATTAATATAAATTCTTAATTTATATAATTGAAAAGATAAATCAGATTAATTCTCAGACTAATATATAAATGTTGATGTAGTATACAGAAAAAGAATTTCAAAAAAGTTATAATAAGTAAGAATTTTCACATAAAAAAAACTAAATAATAATTTATCTTTATATTCGTTTATTCCGCAAATGCGAACGAGACATCTGGTTAGCTGGATATTATAACTAGTTACAACTAATAACTCTCCGCGAATTCACACTTATATTTTTTTACAAAGTTAGAACCTTATATTATTACTAGAATCTTATTATATAAAGCTTGGTTCCTCAAAGTTACTAATTATCACGATCGCGACATATGGCAAGTTATTAGTTAAGATTGTGACATGTGTTAAAGCAAATTGTCCAAAAAAACATATTTTTCCTCTTTAAAATATTTCTACTCTCATAATGCTAATTTTCCTTTATTAAAATTCTAACTAAAAAGTTTAAAACGAAAAAAAAATCTTATCTTATAATAAAACTTTTTTACAATTATCATTAAAATAAAATTATTTTTAAAAAATAAAAAGGTCAAAACGAAAAAAAAAGAATCTTATTATAATAAAACGTTTTTTAAAAAAAAATCTTATCTTATAATAAAACTTTTTTACAATTATCATTAAAATAAAATTATTTTTAAAAATAAAAAGGTCAAAACGAAAAAAAAAAAGAATCTTATTATAATAAAACGTTTTTTTAAAAAAAATCTTATCTTATAATAAAACTTTTTTACAATTCTTATTAAAATAAAGCGATTTTTAAAAATAAAAAGGTCAAAACGAAAAAAAAGAATTTTATTATAATAAAACGTTTTTTATAATTTTTATTAAAATACGATTTTTAAAAATAATTTATTAAATAAGAAAAATCTTATTATAATAAAACGATTTTTAAAAAATTCATAGTAATTTTAATTTTAACAAAACCTAATGCTAATTTTCCTTTATTAAAATTCAAACTAAAAAGTTTAAAACGAAAAAAAAATCTTATCTTATAATAAAACTTTTTTACAATTATCATTAATATAAAACGATTTTTAAAAATAAAAAGGTCAAAACGAAAAAAAAAAGAATTTTATTATAATAAAACGTTTTTTTTAATATTTATTAAAATACGATTTTTTAAAATAATTTATACAAGAAAAATCTTATTATAATAAAACGGTTTTTAAAAAATTCATAGTAGTTTTAATTTTAACAAAAACTATTCCAAAACCGAATTGTAATTATCCTTTTCAAAATATAAACCAAAAAAATGATAAAGACTATTTTATGCTAATTGTTCTTCACAATCAAAAAAAGATAATCGTAAAAAATTATATAAAAATTTTATTTTTCCTTTTTAAAATATTTCTACGCTCATAATGTTAATTTTTCTTTATTCAAATTCTAATTAAAAAGGTCAAAATGAAAAAATTACTAGATAGTAATTATCCTTTAAAAAAAACATAAACAGTTTCCTACTCTCATAATAAAAAACGGATAATTTAAAAAAAAAACATATTTTTCCTTTTAATAATATTTTTACTCTCATAATGCTAATTTTCTTTTATTCAAATTCTAATTAAAAAGGTCAAAACGAAAAAAAGAATCTTATTATAATAAAATGATTTTTAAAATACTTTATTAAATAAGAAAAATCTTATTATAAAATTTTTATTTTTTAAAAAATTCATAGTAATTTTAATTTTAACAAAACCTATTCCAAACCGAATGTAATTATCCTTTTTAAAATATAAACCGAAAAAATAGAAAAACTATTTTATGCTAATTGTCCTTTATAAAAAAAAAAGATAATTGTAAAAAAAATATTTTTACTTTTTAAAATATTTCTACTCTCATAATGTTAATTTTCCTTTATTCAAATATAATTAAAACTTAACAAAAAAAAAGAAATATTAAATAGTCATTATTCTTTTAAAAAAAACTTAGACGAAATAAATGTTAAATACTGATTAATGTTAATTTTCCTTTATTAAAAATTCTAATTAAAAATATCATAATCCAAGAGGAACTATGATTATTCATATCTCTATATATGGAACTAAGATCTCTCATATTTGGTCACTTCTCATATTTTATCACCAAGCATAATTATTGATTCAAAAAAAATATAAGGCGAATTTCGATGTTCTTTTCTTCTTATAAAGTTATGGTTGATCGTTTTCATGATTATTGTTTGATCGTTGTCATGCTTCTGAGTTCTGTCTTTTTTTTTTTTATCGAAACTTCTGAGTTGTCACATAGCAATACATTTAAAGTTATTGCCACCACACCATAACATCGATGTCACATAAAAAATTTCTTTTTAATATTGCGACATGTGTAAGAATATTTCATGGATATAATATATATACTATGAAACTAAAAAATGAATTTCTGAAACAAATAATTTTTAAAACAAATAATTTCAAAATTATTTAATGTTAAATATAAATTTCAAAATTATTTAATATTAGTTTTTAAGAAAAAATCTTTTTTTTAAATCCTAAAGAAACAAATATGTAAAATAATTTGACTATTAAATATGAAACTTTTAAAAATAATATTCCATTGTAATTTTTTTTTTTTTTTTTAAATTGTACATTTGTTAAAATATCTCATTTTTAAGAAAATGAAATTAAAAATTATTTAATACTATTTTCTCTACTTTTTTCTTTAGTAAAAATTTTCCATTTCTATAATTGAAAAAAGAATTGATAATGAAATTTATAGATTTGCAATGATAATGCCAAGTTGACAATATTGTAAGAATGCTACAAACTATATTAATCTGACAACGGACAAATCCAACTTTTGGTAATATTATTTGAGTTTCTAATTTGACTGGGTTAGGTTATGGCAAACTAAAACTATTTATGGTTATATATTTTTTCTCATTTTACTTAATTATAATGAAATAAATATAAAAAAAGAACAATTAATAAAAACAAAAACATTATTGATTATTTTAAAACATGAAGCAGAAAAATTAAAAATTATGTCAAAATAGGTTCTTAATTCAAAAATGTGTCCCATAATATACACCTAAATTCTAAAATTGATGTAAAAAAATTTCTCATTCTTTTTATGTTTTCATAAAATAAAAAAATCAAACAAACCCGTGCAACGCACGGGTCCATACCTAGTTATAGAAAAAGTTAGAGCACCCCCATTGAGAGTTCAAATGGGGGGTTCACACGGAAACCAAAAAAATAAAATAATAAAATCCTATGAACCCCTCTCTCCTAAAGTTCTCTCGGGTGAACCCCTCTCTCCTAAGGTTCAACACGTGGCGGCTCGGGATTGGTCTAAGTTTTTTTTTTTTTTTTTAATAAAAAATCAAAAAGAAAATAGAAAAATTTTAATAATAAAAAATTGATTCAATGAACCCCAAGAGGGGGTTCGCTCTTAGACTTACTCGTACACTATTCGATACCCAAATAGTTAAACACGCAATAGTGTAAAGCCCAAAAGCAAGGCATTTACTTTACTTTTATTCCAAGCAATATCTTAAAGCTAACGATGCCTTCTTTTTACAAAACGATGAGTTCTGTCTATAAATGTGACGAATGTACTGTCTATAAATAAAGACTACAATCTCTAAAACAAAACTAACAAACCAACCCCTATGGAAGACACCATCACCACTTTCCATCCTAAACATTTCATTGAAGAATACTCTGCTCTACATGGACCGTATCCCAACAATTCTTATGAAAAGACATGCATTATTTGTGAAAAATGGATCTCTTCTCGGTCCAATTATTTTTATTGTCGTGTATGTAATATCTTTTTTCACAAAGAATGTCCGTCAGTTTTGATGGAGTCGAATCTGACAATAGATCGTCCAAGGTCACATGAACATAAGCTCACCTTCATCCGCAAGAAAAATTGTTTCAACTGCGATGCTTGTGGAAAGGTAGGCTACAACGAGATGAATATGTACACATGTTTGCCCTGCAATTTCTTTATTCACAGAAGATGTATATATTTACCAAAGGTAATAAAGCTCACTCGGCACTCACACCGCTTGTTACATACTTTTCAAGTTCCTGATTGTACCACGACATGTCGACTTTGTAATGAACCGTTTGTCTATGGATGTGGAGGATATATTTGTATCGACAAGACGTGTGATTATAAACTCCATTCATATTGTGCAACGGGCGAAGGGATGTGGGATGGAAAAGATGTAGAGGGAGAACCTGAAGAAATTAATTACTCTGAAGATGTTACATTTTCATCATTACAAGAGATAGATGGAAAAACAATTCGCCATTTTAGTCATCACCATGATTTAGTGAGCCTCTGTATCAATGGTGAAGAAGAAGAAGACGAACGAGTATGTCAAGCTTGCATCCTTCCCATTGACTTCGGTAGTTTCTTGGGTTGTAAAGAATGTGATTTTGCACTCCATGACACTTGTGCAAATCTTCCTCGGAAGATGGAACACCCGTTCCATCACCATCGACTAACTCTAGAGGTGAACATGATGAACATAAAAGAAGGGTTCTTCAGGTGTTCTAAATGTAAACAAGAATCATGTGGTTTCATGTATCGATGCTGCCAAGAGGAATGTGAGTTCAAAATGGACGCAAAATGTGCTTCTCTTACTGATCCATTACACACTGGAGCCCACAAACACCCTCTCACTCTATTAGACAGCACAGCACGTTGTTACCAATGCCCTTTTCATTTCGAACTAGAACCAAAACGCATAACTCTGCCGGTGTTACTAAAATACAAGTGTGACACTCATCCACTTACCTTATGTTTTGCTGAATCAATCCCATGGTCATATCCGTCGGTGCGTGCTTGTGAAATATGTGAAGTAATAATAAGCATTGACTACCGAGATTACCGAGATGTCTACGGCTGCACCGACTGCTGCACCACTCTACACGCTGAATGTGCAATAGGGAAATACCCATATCTGAAACCTGGCCATGCGATCAAAGTGAATGGTTTTGAGATTGAGATTGCACGCAACCGTCTTTCTCGACCTATATGCCATGCATGTCACTCTATGTGCCAAGATAAACTAGTTTTCAAGAATAAGAGAAGTGCAGTCTCTTTCTGTTCTATCAACTGTATAACCTCTTCATAGAAACCCCGCATGTAATCTAAATTTACTCAATTGTTGATCAAGTCTGTATGACAAATAAAATCCTGCTTTGCGATCACTTCAGTTTTATTTTACTATACCATAAATTCAGTAATTTTTTAACTCTTTTTGGTATTCCGTAGCTCACATGTCATCGTCCCTTACTTACCTGTCACGGCCGGCCCTGGGCAATGCCTAGTGAAACATTTGTTTCAGGCCCCCAAAAATTTTGTAGAAAATTACATGAGCATAGGCCCCCAAAAAAATTTTTAGGCCCCCAAAAATTTTTTTACTTAGAAATCGCCACAGGCCCCCAAAATCTCAGGGCCGACCCTGCTGTCACCCAAACGAAATCAAGCAATTCAGATGCTTTGATATATCATGCTCGCCTACCCTTCCCTTTTAAATTTTGATTTTAGAACCAAAAAATAAAGATTGCTTTTGCATTATGCAGGTGATTTATAAATCTGAAGTCTCCATGATTACAAGTATAAACAAAATAAACCAAGATGGTTTTGTATAAATATGAAGGAAGATATAGTTTTAAATAAAATAACATATTTTGTTATAGTGAAATGTACACATACAAGTACAACAAGCTGTATTTGGACCTGGAGTCATTGAAAATATTAGTGACATAAATGTGAACAGACTTGGGAGACTAAAAGCAGCAACAAGGTACTAAGGAAAATAGAATCTGGAATTATCTGGTTTGATAAGTGAGCCACTGTTAAAGCCACATATGTATTGTCTTAAGTTTTGGAGACAGTTTGCATTTTAAGGCTTAACTAGGCAGAATATTAGCTTGATAACATTTGTCCATGTTTCTTATTTGACACAATAATCTCTCTAACGATTCAGTTTCAAAAAATATTGTGTCATGCATGAACCTGTTTGGTTTCATGTTATAACTTGCACGTTATTTATGTCCTTTTCTTGAAAAAGGTAATTTGTATCTCTACAAATTAATACAATTTGTCCATGTTAACCACAATGATTGGGTTGTTGAGTAATTCATGTATATGATGCAACAAAAATCGAAGTATCATCAAAACATCAATCAATTTTCCCGCCATTTTTCGTCGCCACTTACTTTCGTTGATTGCCATAAGGGTCCGGTGAGTTACTCGTCGCTTCAAATTGCATATAGATCTTCTATCCTTAGATGTAGCTCAGTGTGATCTTGAAAAGCTTCCAGTTCTTTTCCATGTCACTTCGATGTGAACTGAAAATCTCAATCTTGTAAAGCAAGCAACTGACTTAAACTGTTGCACTCTTATATATATCGATGTTACTTCTTGTGTTGGTGCTATATATATTTGTAACAAATGCTTCTGCTAAAAATATGCTTTTGCTTGTGTTGTTGTAATTTTTGTTTTCTTGGTCAAACGAGTTGTTGTAATTTAGTTTATCGTAATATAACTGATATTTACATTCTATAAGAAAAATCTCAATTTTTATTTATTTATATCAAAACTTAAAAGCACATTTTAATGAAAATCATAATTTGAGTAGCCACATAACATGTGCGGGCTTATCCCATACAAATTATCATTAAGGTATTCAAATTTATTGATGATGATACATTGATGAACACCTTGATTTTTTTTTTTGACAACAATATCTGAACTATGATATATGCACTACCGGTTCAGAGAACCAAACCGGTGGCATTGAATCGACATAGAACATAGTTGAAGGGGAACATCGAGCACCTCGTGCAAGCCTGTCCGTCACTAGATTAGTTGCCCTTGGTACATGTCGAATGTTGAAGGTAGAAAAGAAAGTCTTACTCCGCTTGAACTCCTCCAAATGTGATGCAAAGGCCGGCCATTCATCTGGTGAGGACACCATCTTCACCAATTGAGAATAGTCTGTCGCAAAAACTACTTCGGAATGACCGAAGATCTTCATGCACTTCATATCCCATATCAAAGCTTCACATTCTGCATATAAGGTTGATAAGCTTCTTCGGAGATTCATCGCACCCATCATCTTCACTTCCGAGCCCGTCTCTCTATAGAACCATCCTTGACCCGAAAACTTATTGTTTTCCTTCCACGCACCATCAAAGAAACAAACTTTTGCATGTCCTGAAGATTGCCAGTCAAAACCAGTAGGCTCCGGGAGTTGCGTCGGAATTGTGAGTTGAGCTTCCACCCATAAATCTCCCTCCGCTTCAGAAATTCTAAGAATTTCCAATGGGTTTCCATTCTTGTTATTGTAAAGTTTATTATTCCTATTTTTCCAAATATATCATAAAATCCATGGAAAGTTGTTGGAATCAGAATATTTTGGGAGTCGCCAAAAAAGATAATCCATATTAGTGAACACCGAAGAAGTTGGGAAAATATCAGAAGAGGAGGGGACTTTCGACAGTGCCCAAGTTTGCAAAGCTGGAAGACACTCAAATAAGACATGATTAATCGATTCTTTCTCCACCCCACAAATACTGCATCGGGTATCACACTTGACACCCCGTGTCCTTAAAGTTTGGGAAACTGGTAAAGTACCCGAAATAACTTGCAACACAAAATATCTCAGTTTTGGAGCGCATTTGAGTTTCCAAGAAAAAACTAATAAATGTTTTATATCTGGCCCAAAAAAACAACTCTTGTGTCTTATCTTGAATTGAAGATTCCACCTTATAACCTGATTTGACAGTGTATTTCTCTGATTCCGTGGGAGACCACCCATAAGAATATTGTCTACCATTCCGGCTAATAGCCAAACTCCTAATAATTATAACATCATCCGGATGTACGTATGCATTAAGCAAGTTTACATTCCAAGATTTAGTTTACCCCTAATAATTGTAACCACCTTGATTTTTAAAGAAATTTATTAACAATGACATAAACTAATGAAAGAACGATTAAATATTTGAACCAATTTTAAAAATGATAAAAAAATACTCTCTCTGTTTCAAAAAATTCATGTTAAAAAAAATGTTTCAAAGAAATATACTTGTTACATTTCCAATGTATTAACTAATACTAGTTAATTGTAAACTTAAAAAAAATAACATGTGTTTATTGAAATTATGTGGGATAGAAATTATATAGAATAACAATCACAATATAATACATTGATAATCAATATTTAATATTTTTTTAGTATGTGTGAAATTTTTTAAATAATACTCCCTTTGTTCCTAAAGATCCATATTCTAGTTTTTACACACTTTTTAATAAAACACAATAAATTTGCATAGTTTTTTGTATTTATCTTCTTTCTATAATTTTAAACCAATCAAAAATCAATTAGTGCAATTAAGTTTTTTGAAATTTACAATTATTTAATAAAACATACATTGAAAATGTAAAAAATAGATCTTTTAGAAACAAATTTTTTTTCTAGAATATGTATCTTTAAGGAACGGAGGGAGTATATAGTATTTTTGAAACAGAGAATATTCAGCAAATAGTGAAATAATGGGGTGAGTTCGTCAAAATTAGAAAGATTATGGACCTTATAAGAAATAAGATATTGTTGTTAACAGTTAGTCACAGTTGTATAATCTCTTTCCTTTTATGTTATGTTCTTCTGTCTTTTGCTCTCACATATTTTTATTAAATCGCCAATATTTAAGAGCTGGCATCTGAACATCTTTTATCAATCAATCTCAGTCTTTCGATTCCTTCAATTTCCTCAAAAAAAACTGAAACCCTAATTCTTATCTCATTGGATCGGAGGATCAATCGGCTTTTTTTGCTGAGGGAGGATGGCTCGGCAAATGACGTCATCTCAGTTCCACAAATCAAAGACTCTCGACAACAAATACGTAAGCTTTTCGATTTGGGTTTGAGCTTTAGTAATTCGAAATTGGGCAAAGATGAAACCTTTTTGTGATTTTTGTTTGCTTAAAGTTTTTTTTTTAATTTGTTTTTGAGGGTTTATAGATGCTGGGAGATGAAATAGGGAAAGGAGCTTATGGGAGAGTGTATAAAGGATTGGACTTGGAGAATGGAGACTTTGTGGCAATTAAACAAGTCTCTTTGGAGAATATTGTTCAAGAGGATCTCAACACTATCATGGTTTTTTTTGTTACTCTCACCAATCTATCTTCCTTATTTGTTTTGTCTTAGTGTGTCCTTACTAACTGACTTGAATCCTGGTGGTGTTACATGTGGGTGATTCTGTATTCACCAGCAAGAAATTGATCTTTTGAAGGTAGCTTCCTTCTTCTATATATTATCCACAGTCTATTGTTAGTATTACCAAACTGTTTAGATTTCACAGTGACTAGGCACGTACGAAGTTGGGATTCTATCTGTGAATTTACATCAGATTAACCACCTTCTGGATTTGGCGCCTTTTCTTCATTAATGGTTATGCTGCTAAAGATGCATTCTTCATTTATGTCTTCTAAGATGGTGTTTCATTGCAGAACTTGAACCATAAGAACATTGTCAAGTATCTTGGGTCTTCAAAGACAAAGACTCACCTTCACATTATTCTGGAGTAAGTAGCGTTTTTGTGTGTGTGTTTTTTTTGGTTCTCGCTGAACTATGGTCTGGAAACTAAAGGTTAAAAATGTGTTTGTAGGTACGTTGAGAATGGCTCTCTTGCAAACATTATTAAACCAAATAAATTTGGACCGTTCCCAGAATCGTTGGTGGCTGTTTACATTGCTCAGGTTTGTAACTTATATCTTTATCTAGTTGATCTTTGAGTTCCTTTAAGCGTTGTGTACTAACTACTGAATACAGGTCCTGGAAGGTTTAGTATATCTGCATGAGCAGGGTGTCATACACCGTGATATCAAGGGTGCAAATATCTTGACGACAAAAGAGGTATGTTTTTTTGTACCGTATGGATTGTGTTAGCTATTCTCAGGCATGTAGGATCTGTTGTATTCTCGGATGCATAAGATCCTTCTCGGCTATTCTTCCTTCGATACATACTCAAGTCTTTCATACTTCAGGGCCTTGTTAAGCTTGCTGACTTTGGAGTTGCCACTAAACTAAACGAGGCTGATGTTAACACTCACTCAGTGGTTGGAACTCCTTACTGGATGGCTCCTGAGGTATACTATTAGTCATCACCATATTCTGTATAGGT